CCTGCCCTTCAAGGAGCAAGCAGTGCAAGCAGCTGGGGCAAGTTTGATAACTGTTCAGACCCAGTTTCTTCAGCTGTAAAATGGGGATAAGCAGAGTAATTCCCTCATGGCGCTGTGACAATGCCTGGGACAGAATGAGTACGCAGTACGTGGAGGCAAATTCAGTGCTACCAGGGCCCAGCCATGCATCCTGCCTTCTCCCCCAAAATAGCACTGTCGTCTTGCTTTGCTAATGCACTTACCTTCCCAGAAATCATTCTTATCAACAATGGAAGAAAGGATACTTTTCGCACATCCGGGCATTTGCTCTCCTCCGTTTGGATAGAAATCCAGATGGCCCACCTTCTGGCTCATTCCAAAACCTGAAACATCGGAAGCGGCGGTGAGCAGGGAGGGAAGGGGTCCCAAGGCCAGGTCATGGCCCCAGAGAGCGTCTGACTCCTTCCGACCAGAGGGAAAGTCTTCTTGGCCAACTGTCCCCTCAGCACAGCCACCCACCGGGCTTTGCGGAACCCTCTCCAAGATGAGCCCATAGCAAGACAAGGAAGGAGGAGTGAGCAGAGGCAGGGAGCATGCCTACATGTGTATTTGCAAGTGTGTCTGTCTGTCTGTCTGTCTCTCCTGGGGAGGCTGTGAACAATACTGATATCCCCTGATACCATTATGCATCATAGACACCTATCAGGACTGGTGCAATTCCCATTCCTTTACTCATTCTGAAATTTTGATTTCTATGTTAGAAGGTTATGTTGAGATCTCATTGTTGTATTGAGAGCCCAGCATAATGGCTGGACGCTTTGGCTTTTTAAGCACACAGACCCGTGATCACATCCTGGTCCTATTTACACACTCCGTGATCTCAGGCAATAACCAAAGCTTTTCAAGCCTCAGTATCCTCAGCTATGAAACAGTAATAATAATGCCCACTTTCTAGGGTTATTACCATGATTAAGGAGGGATTATATACAAGATGTCCAATGCAGCCCATGGTAACCATCACTATTATTAAAAACATACCCTTTGTTGGCATGTTTCATGAGGTGTTACATAAGAAAATATTGAAAAAACGTCATTGACTTTATGTAATATTAATTTTTTACATAATTTTATTTTTTTTATCTTTTCATTTCTTTAAACTAACAACTCACCCACTTTATTTTAGAAGCATTAAATAATGGAATATATTTCCTTTCCAACAATACAAACTATATCCAAAGTTTCCACAAAAGAAGTGAGCAAAATAATCAAACATTAACATTGCATTTTGCAAGTAAAGGTCAAGCATCCTATATAATAAAACCCTAATGTGCAAAACGACCTAACAGCAGAGCGACCTGTGGATATAATGCACACTGACCACCAGGGGGCATACGCTCAATGCAGGAGCTACCTCTGGTGGTCAGTGCGCTCCCACAGGGGGAGCACTGTTTAGCCAGAAGCCGGGCTCACAGCTGCCAAGTTTGAGGGAGCCTCTCCCGCCTCCAAGGGAGGTAGCCCTAAGGAGCAGGGAGCCTGGCTTCTGGCTGGTGAGCACAGCAGTGCTGACAGAAGGCTCTCCCGCCTCTGCAGCAGCACTGAGGATCCTCAACACCTCCCCTACCCCTTGCCCCCCTCCCCCCACCAGTGCAGGAATGGATAGTGGAGCCTAGGGAAGGTCACAGGGTTGAGGACTGAGCAACAGCCTTCCATAGGCTACACCAGTGTGTGTGTGACCTGCCTGGGGCCACAGGCTGATACCACTGGCGCTGGGCTGGCTGTTGATTTGTAGCTGGCACCCACTTTGACTGGTTGGCATCCAAGCTATTACTGTAGTTAACCATGTTGAATACCACCCCTGGACCTACTCTTAGCAGTTACAGCCCTGGTCACCAAGAGGTGAGTGAGGCACTCACCTAGGTAAGGGACTGTGGGTGAGGTATCTGTGTGAATCACATCCACAAACATGGCATCCGACGGGTCCAGCCTCACCTCCTCGGGCGTGCCCTGGAAGCCTGGTTCTGCTGGATCCAGTCCTGAAAGGGGGAGATGGACAGTGACGAACCAGGTTCCATCCCCTGGACCCACAAAATCCATGCGGCTTTCTGCCTGAAGCAGCGGCTGTGCCCAGCTCATCTTCAAAGAGAAGCAGAGGGTGGGAGGAGCATGGCCCACAGACTCAGTGACCTATATTCTAGCCCAGGTTCTGCTCAAGGTCAAAGGCATGTCTTCCCTGAGCCTCAGTTTCCTCATCTGGAAAGTGGGAATAACAGCAACCTACCTTATGGGGCTATTGTGAAAACCCCACGCAAAGGTATAAGAGAAAGAACTTTGCAATCTGAAAAAGTCTCCGTAAACATAATCTATGAATCCCCCATCCTTCCCCCAATGCCTAGCGCACAGCCCTGGGCAAAGGAGACCGCCATCACACTGTTTGCACAGTGACATACACACGGGACTCAGCGGTGTCTGTGTCTATGTCTTGTGTGCCTTC